TCATGTATATGATGTTAACAGAAAATATCCCATAAGGACAGAAAAGGTGATGTTATATGGTGCTTTTCCCTCTGGGTATAACATGATGCTATTAGACTTGTTCTTAGGAACCATGGCAACTAGAGGAGGAAAAACAGAGTTAACAAGCACTTGCCCTCTTTCTTTGTATTGAAGACTTAACCTAAGGATTCACACATGCAAGGCAAGCATTCTAGGAGCTCCATCTCTCTCTTCAAACACCCACAGTCACCTCTTCAGTGCCTGCTTTGGTCCTGTAGCAAACTTTCTCTTAATTCTTTACTTTCTCTCACATTTGATTTCTCCCCCCCACTCCACTTGTTAGCAACAAGAACTGAGGAACACTTCGTAGAAGTCTCAGTTTTCTTTCTGTATCTTGGAAACCTCTCTCCCATCTACTACCAGTAGCAAGGGAAGTTTGTAACTCAGGGAATTTTGACCTTCTTTCTACTTAGGTCTTAGGCTTGTATAGTCTGTTTGTTGGTCTTTAACTATGTATTTGATTAGAAAAGTCACAATGCTCTCACATTATTAAAAATGCAAATATCCTAATTATTGTGGTATTGTATGTGGTAGTGGAAAGAAGACAAAGTGGTCATCTGTGGAGAAAAGGTGAGTAAAATATGGTAGATGCATCATCCCAGACTGCTGTGTCACTTACAAATCATGCTTCAAGAATTTCCCATAAACATTCTACCATTTTTATTTGCTTTAAAATGAATATTTTGAGTCATTAATCTCTGCATATTTTCTTCTTCCTTAATGCTTTAAGGTGATTAAGACAAAAATCACACTGCATGTTATTTACACTGAAAAAAAAACAAATCATAGTATTGTTGTTAATAGATGCATCATCTTTAATCAAGTACAACCCTGGAAAAATACTTGAAACGCTGATTTGATTGATGGTGAGCTTGATTACTCCTGTTTATGAGGTATCTAATTACAAATGATGAGGATAAATTTCCTGACAGATGTGATGTTATTTATGCTTGTGTAAAAATCTATAAGGACCATAAGAATTCTAGTTGTTTTACATAAATTTCAAATAGATATTAATTAAATTATGCATTTAGTTTTTCAGAATCCATAAAACAGTTCTAGAACAGGATAGCATATTATGATTTTTATCAGGATATCATTTGGACCTTGGATAGTAGAATAAAAGAGCTATACAAATTGAAAATGGATTCCTTCTCAGACCATGTTGTGGCAGACAAAACACGGGTTAAGTCGTCCACCTTGATTTCAGATGGAGTCCTCACACTTGCTGAGTACCTCTCCATCTCCATTTGCCTTGGTCTTTCCAGTCAGAACTTTATTCCCATCAAGTCTATGAGACATCTCTAACCCATACCATCAGTGACTTCTATTTTCTAAATCTTCCTTTGAGTCTCTGTACTTATACCTCTAGCCCTTCCCACAGTCTTATGAAAAAAAAATGTCTTCCTCCTTTAGAAAAAGTCTGTACATATTGTTTTCCTCTTAATGACTACTTCTTAGTCTAGTTTACTGTTTCTTTTTCTTTTGTCTAACTTTTAAATGTTAAAGTCCAGATTTTAGTCCTGGTTCCCTTGTTAGTTTGCATTCTCAGCTTAGGTAAGTTAAAACATGTTTAAAGCTTCAAATGCCATCTATATCCTGGTGATCTCCAAATTTATACGATGGGTCCTGGCTTTTCTCTTGAGTTCAGGACTTGTATAAAATTCACCATTTCCTCCTGAGTGTCTGATAAGGGCCTCGAGTTTGATCCACCTCTCCTGACCCACCATTTGACCACCGTGCCAAGCTTGTTTTCTGATATTCCAGTTTCTAGATACTCATGAGTTCACAGCTAAAGGAAAAACCATGTTCTGAACCCCTTCCATTTCTCCATTCCATTTACCATGTCCATCAGTAGATCTCCACCTTAGTAGAAGCAAAATCTCTTTACTAGATTACTAAAAGAACTTCCTCAATGATCTTGCTTCTACTCTTTGCTTTCTATTCATTATTTAAAAATAATGATTCCATTCATGCACATCTTGACCCCCCAAATTCTCATTGTAATCATAATAATAAATTACAATAAGACTTGAACTCCTAACTGTGGCCTCTAAGAACTTTTCAGAACTTGGTTTCTATCACTTTCCCCTGTTTTATCGTATTCACGTACATCAGTTTTCTTTTTGTATCCTGCATGTCTTCTTGTTCTCACATCAGGGCCAAGAGACTCTTTCATCCCTTGAGTCTTTGAATGGAGGCCACCTCTCCCTGACCACCTCTCAGGGACACCTGCCTGAACCACAGCTGACAAGCTGGGATTGTCTTCCTGTTCCCTACCATGGGGCCATGTCTTCTCTTATCTCTGTTTTATTTCCTAGCAATAATATTACTTTTAGATTTTATTATTTGTGTAGTTACTGCTTGTTTCCCCTACTTTCCACCCCTTTGAGTACCTCTTTCTGATAGAACTTTGGCCTGTTTTGTTCTATCTCATTTACCTAGAACAGCATAAGGCCTTTATTAGATATTCAAACATATTTGCTGAGTAAGTGAATTAATTTTAGGAGGTTGAAAAGACCACTGCAATTTAGTTTTACATTTAGGTAGGAGTTGGAAGAGTTTCATTGTTTTTACATTGTTTTTACAACTCTTTTACAAGAGATACATTAGTTTAGATGTCAAGTATATAAAATACATTTTTCCTAAAGATATGTATGAAAATATTCCAGAATTCATGTCTTAGGTTTCTATGGCTGTTTGGTAAAGATATAGCAATTTATGTTTTAAGATATTTTATGTTTGTGGTTGAAGAAATGGTACTGTGGTTAAGAGCACTGGTTGCTCCTGCAGAGGACCAGGGTTTGGTTTCCAGCATCCACATGGCCGCTAACAACTGTCTGTAACTCCAGGGTCAGGGGATCCAACACCCTCTACTGGCCTCTGTGGGCATTGCACAACATAGGCATGCTTTCATACATGCAAGCAAAATCCTCATACATGGGAAATAAAAATAAATCTCCCCAAAGGAAAATAAGAATATTTTATTTGTAGTTTGAAAAACTATTAAAAACTATTTCCATTTTATGTTTTCCATAGCTCAGTATATCCAGTGGTTTAATGACAAATTATCACCTGTTAGATTAATTTATGTATTTCAGCTCTTGTTGGGGTTAAAAGAAGAAAATTTAAGAGAAAATAACTTGCCTAGAAGTAGAAAGCTTTAACTAATCAGTCCCAATATGGTAATTTTTTGACTCAATAAAGGAGAATAATTTTGGTATAACTGTTTTGTTTCTTTAAGTATTATTCAGTAGATGATACCGAAGTGTCTATATTAAGTGTCTTAAACATGATAGAAGACCTTTGTCCTTGAGAAATTTTGCATCTTATCCCTGTATTTTCTATATGGAGAAAATACATGAGAATGCATAAAATATAATGTAATGCTTCAGAAAACGCGATCCCACTGCTGGGTGGCTTCTGCTTCATTCCTAAACTATCTTCATATATGAAAAAAAAATATTTTAAAACTAGATGTTATCGAATGTATTTTGTGTTCTATGATTTAAGGACAAATGTGAGAATTAGAAATGCCAGATCCCAAAGCCAGTGACACACATACACACACACACACACACACACACACACACACACACACACACACCCTTGCCTAGTCTGTTTAATACACTTAAATTTAACAGTTAGATGGGAGATCTATGAGGAAAAAGAGTTGGATTGAGAGTTAAGAAATTTGGACACAAGTCAATTTTGAGATTAATAGTTATTTAGGAAAATTCTTTAAACTTCAGTTTCCTAATGTCTAGATTAGAATAAACACTGTTTTTTAAAAGATCCATTCCAACTACATGATATAAGGATATTAAATTTTCCTCTGTGGAGAGCTTTTCAGGGCAATACTGAGATTTGTCTCTATTATTCATGAAAGGCCAACCATGGAAATTGGAAGTCATTTTTGATCTATTAAAAGTGACTTGGCAGAAGATTTCTTAAGAACTCAAAGTGTTAAACAGGTTTTGGTTACAGAACTATGAATTCATATGTTGAGACAAAAGAGTAGTACTCGGATAGACCCAGGGTTTTGAAAACTGGTAAAAGCAATGGATGCACACGTGCAGCTCTCACTGATTCATATCGGCAAGTGTGAGAGTTAAAAACAGAACACTTTATGATTGTTAGGAAATAACCAGAGACAGTGCATAAAACACCTTGTTTCACTCGGAAGCTGGAAGCCTTGTGAAATAAAATATCATAGCAAATGGCACCAGATGATCATCGTTTTCCCCACTGCTTCTCTATCATTTGGACTAAAAAAATAAAACAGACTCCAAGCCAGAAACATTCTATAACTACAATGTTTCCATGACCACTCAGTTCAGGAGAGTTAGAGACAGAGTAGAATGCCTCATTCCTTGCATGTTAGATATCTGATTAGCTATTGCAATAGCTAACTATGGAAGTAAAAATGGAAATGTGTTTATTGTCTCTGTGAGCATGTGGCTGAAGGAATACAGTAAATTGACTAACTGAACATTTAGTCACATGTAGAGACTTAAAGGGCAAATCTCATGATTCCTAGCCTCAAATATATCATGATTGTATCACCAAGAGATTTTTTTTTTAAATGGCTGTTAATAAGCTAAGAACTTAGATCTATCAGTTACAAACATTCTATGTCACTAACCTTGATGTCCTTAACTTTGAAACAAATCACAACTGTCTGCTTGTGGTAGAGAGCAGCCTCCCTGTGTTTTCTCTAACCCCTTCTACTGGTCCATGTGAGTCACTTCTCATTGTTGCGTTTATTGTAGTTTAAAAAACAATTTATACAATTATGTCAGCATTATAGTGACATTATAGTTTTGTTATATGAAACTAGGTTATCAGTGTCAATGTGTCAATCATAGAACAACATGAAATGTCAAACCTGGTTCTTATTATTAAAATAATTTCATAAAAAAGTCATTTAGTATACTTACATCGACAATCAAGAAATCTAGCCAGCACCACGCGTTAGTGAAATAGGTTTGAAATCCATAAGCTACCCATTTGAGAAGCATTTCCAGAATGAATATATAAGTGAAGACCTTGTCAGCATATTCCAGCATGGTTTTGACAGTCTTTCGCTGTTCAATGTATATGTCTTCAAAAGCCTGTGGATCAAGAAAACTTTGTTTTACCTTAGTGTCTTGATTCCCAAAATGCTTTAAAATATTTTTAGTATAATACTGAGTACAAAGCAACACTTGGAGAAGTATTGGCTAATGTCACAGACATATTTAACATCAGACAAAAATGCTAAGTGTAAATCTAGCTGGAGAATGCTGGCAGGTAAATATCAGTGTCTTTATTGATTCCACATGTGCTTGTATCGCTACCTCTGACCTAAAAAGTACCTATCTCAATCCCTGCTGAAAATACATGCTTTCAGTGATGTAAGTTGAACTAAAAATTAGATGAGTTCAGTTCCTATGGAATAGAGTTGCCCGCTTCCAGCCTTGCTTCTAAGAGTCCCTAACTTACTTTGAAAAAAAAAAAATTTCATATACAAAGAAAGCAAGTCATACTTTTAGCCCATAAATGATAATAAAACTATTTGGGAAAGCTGGGTGACATTTGACAGGGATGCTAGCACAGTCAGGGAGTGTTTCTACAAATGGTTGTATCAATGACGAAAACATCTGGAGGACATACACCAGATGTGAAATCTCATCTGGCTGTTTCATGGTTCTGATTTGTTTTGAACAGAATTTTGCATAGCATTCCCAGCTCCACAAGGCACAGACACACCTCCTTGTTTGATGAATAAATTTGGTATACATTTTTACTATTTTAGAGAGCCAGCCATGTCACCAAAAACAGATTCTTGCCAACATGCATCTGCTTACCAGAGCACCACTACTGAGAAGAATCATGAAGACGATGAACGTCTCAAACCAGTTGTGTTCAACAATGCTATAGCAGGTCTTCCGGAGATTCCACCAGACTTTTCCTTTGCCTTCTTCTGTACTTACTTGGCAAAAGGGAAATTTTTTAATACATCCTAAAAGATAACATTAAATATCATAAATTAGAAAAAGGTACTTTGATCATTAGTAGGAAAAATTAGCTTTTTGTCCCTCCTGATCGTAATACAAGTTCATCACTTTATAGGGCAGCTGGCTGCTTCATTCCCTAACTTTTCTTCAACATCCTCCTAAGAATGAATCATACTTAACTTATATACTTAGAATTTATAGATACTGTTTTTGCCTGTGTAGAAATGATTTTGTTCTTCAGTATAAGTTAGGACCTCTTTGCCTTGAGGCTACTAAGGAAAACAGTGTCATTTTTCATCCCATACAGGTTTGGGAGCAAAACTTCATGTTCAATTTGTTTATTCCTATTTCCATGTGACCCTGAGTTTTTCACTCCCTTCTTTTCAGGCATAGAAAATCCCACCGTCTTCCCAGGTGTCAGCCACTGTCAGTTTTCTCAAGCTAATTTATTTTCAGCCTCAGTGCTTTTCTTAGTCATACCTATGACTCATTTCACAGCCAGTAGCTCTTATTGCATTCTGTTCTCCTCTGCCTCCTAGATTTTGTATTATTTCTAACTTCCAGCTTCACATTTGCTCTCTGAGTTCCTACTTATCAGATTAAATCCAACTGCAGCGAATCAATAAATCTTTTTTGATTTGTGAGCAAGATGTGCTGATCAGTGTGAGAACAACATGACGTGCCTGCCAGTGCTCTAAACACAGACACAACACCAAACAGCTCTGGCTGGAGCACAAATTAACCACACTTGAAACTGGGAGTGATGGCATATAATTATTGCAGCATATGTAAACCCAGCCATACCACTCCACAAACATTATGAAGGAATCACAATGACAGGATGGTTCAAAATGCCATTCTTCTCAAAGGGTCAACATTGTATTCTGTAGCAAAACAAATTATATAAACAACATACACTTACTACTTTTTCTTATTTGCCCAGGCACAGTCTCTATTGTAGAATAATCTGGAAATTTAAGATCCAAGGTAATTTAAGACATAGTGTTTTTTAAGAAATCAGGTGTGGTGGTGCATGCCTATAATCCCAGCACTCGGGAGGCAGAGGCAGGCAGATCTTGTGAGTTCAAGTGCAGCCTGGTGTACACAGTGAGTTCCAGGCCATCTGGGGCTACAGGGAGACCCTGTCTCAAAAAGACACACACACACATACAAAAAAAAAAAGAAAGAAAGAAAGAAAGAAAGAAGAAAGAAAGAAAGAGAGAAAAGAAAGAGAGAGAAAGAAAGAGAAAGAAAGATAGATAGATAGAAAGAAAGGGAGGAAGAAAGAAAGAAAGAAAGAAAGAAAGAAAGAAAGAAAGAAAGAAAGAAATCAGGAAAACCAAATATGGTTTTACAATTTCTTTTACATGTTTTGTTTAAATGAAACATGTTCAGTCTCTGTAAGGAATGAGGAGCATTCCAACACCTTGGAGTATGTTTACCTTCAGTGAAACAAGCTTCTGGTTTGAGATCTTCCTCAGGTTCAATTTCAGCTTGTTCACCTTCTCGGGGTGGAGCAACATCAACTGTGCTTCCTTCAGATGAACTGGTTGCATTTAATTTCTGGAAACAAAGTTCCATGTTAAAGATAAGAATTTCCCCTCTTTGTTCAACTACTTAGGAAATGCTCTGTCATAGTGTGGAAAAATGGTAGCGACTAAAGTTAATACCATTAATGGTACTGGAAATTAGGTACTAGTAACATTAGCAAAGTTCTACTATTTAGAAAAAAAAAGACAGCAGTTAGTGTGAATGACTTGAAAGGATGGATTGGGCTGATTAACTTGCTTTATGTTCTCTACTTGTACATGAATGCCGTGTACAAATAACTTAATAACATGAATACTCCAGCCAAATCAGAAAGAGTTTCACAAAAGTTTAGTAGACTGATGTCTTCTAATGGTTATTTTAATTGAATGCACCAAATCAAATCACAACTTCCACCTCTTCAGATGGAAATTTTCAGAGGGCAAAGAACACTGCCAGTTGTTTCTAAGTACTGTCCATGTTTCTGTAATTTTAGAAGGGCAGGGACACACATTAGCATCAATCATTATAGTTCAACTTTGAGCTATATTTTTCTCTAGCTTACATAATTTCCCCATACTTTACTAGCAGAAAATGATGGATCTCTCCCTTTCTTTCTTTTTTGAACTGCATAAATGAATTCAACACTTGCCAAAGAATTCTAAATGAAATGGAAATTTCTTCATAAATGACATTGTCTAGAATCTTTATTAAGAGCTCATCCTGAATGCAATGTATGATCAGACTGTGAATTTTTCCTTGAAATAAATCACTGTGACATGACACATGGTGAGAATAGCCATTTTAATGTCACCAGAATAAATATCTAATAAATTTTCTGAGATCATGTGGGAAGACATTACAGATATGCAATATTTTATGAAAACTGATACAAAGACATGACATACAGCATGGCCCAGGTAATGTAAAGCTTTTAGGATGAAGAACCACTCATAGACATGTTAATGGTTTCAGAGACCCCATTAGCTTCAGTAACTAAGTATTAGGGTCACACTGTCCTAGCCTTCTGGGAGAGTTAATGTGTTATCTTAAAAAGGCCTAAATGATTCCTTAAACACAAGTCATATTGGGAGAAATTTGGCTCAAAATTTCTGATTTATCTGAAATCACAATGCCAATATAGTTTACTATTTTACAGTGTGAACTAAAAGGGAAATAAGGTTAGGATAGTGCTTTCTGTGGTGTTACAGTAATGATGATATTAACCACATCCAAATAAACACTATGAAAATGACTTTAAGTCAATATATAATTCAATATATAGCCCTCCTGGTCAGTATGCTAATGAGGGAAGCTAGGTCATTATTTGGGGTTGATGAGTCTTAGGATTGTTACAGTACAGGAATTTTTACCATTAAATTCCTTTGCTTTTGGAAACATGAGAAAATCTAGACAGATTTTATCCTCCTAGAATTTTTTTCCCTTCTTTCAACCAGGATATTTTTATTCTTTGAAAAAGAGCCTAGGAAAGCTGCTACTGGGTACAGTTGTAGCAGCTTCTGTTATAACCAAGGACATACTGATAACGGGTATCAGCATCTCACTCTTCCCTTCCAACTTCACCAGTCACTGACAGGTTGAAAACTATGGCTTTGACAAGTGAGCACAATGATACCAGTGCATGGTAAGAAACCAAATTATCTGAAGATTAGTCATGAAAAGGTCATGTTCATCTTCATCCTCTTAGCCAACCAAGCTCAATAATGCCTTCTGAGCTTGGGTCACCATCCACCTCCTCCATGAATTCTTTCTTTCTTGCATGATTGCTCCAGTTAAATATCAGAGTCCATTTGGCCTGATATTTTTGTTGCCTTTGGCCAAATATTCCCATATATATGTGTGTGTGTAGACATATGTAGAGAGAGACACGCACACACATATAAACACATATACATGTATATGTACACAAACATATGCTTCATCACACATACTAAGTACATATATATATATAGCAAAAAGTCAAATATGTAACCAAATATAGAATAGACACTGTTGTATTATATTCATTTTATGAAGAATGAGTAGATGAATGTATTTTTATATTGCTGTTAATGTTTAGAAAATTTCATCTCATTATTGATAAATTTTCTTAATAAATTGCCTTGATTGGTCTATCTAATTATGTTAGAAAATAAATTTTCTTATTGAATGTAAATTATAGTAATAATAGTTAATATTAAGGGACAGTTCCAAAATATTTTTCAAAACTATTATTAGACATTTAGTAAGGAAGTATGAGAAGAATATTCTAAGTATTACATATAAAATACTCTTACAGCTATGCTTTTGCATGTGAGAACCTTAGAAGATGTACTCACCTGTGAGTTCCCACTTTACCATTTGGTATTATGTTTAATTTTCATATCAAATTATCTTAAATATGTTCTACTGGTATTTTATATTTAAATACAAATATTTATTCAAATGAATTTCACAGCACAAATAATAATAGCCACTAACATGAATGATAATTGAATGAATAGTTTGCCCAGTGTGGACCTCTGGATGTATTTTTGCTATTGCATTGCCTTAAGATTATAAATGTTTGTGGATATAGCTAACATGTTTGGATATAATCAATATTAATATTCAGTTGGCTCTGGGGTTAAGCACTTTTACATCCTAAAGGAGAGAGAAAGTGAGGGTTGTGTTCAGTTATTTTCCCTCTATCTACATAGTACTCTGAGGCTTAGCATGTCTTTTGAAAGTAGACAAAGCTCTTGCCCTGTTTCTGCTCTTGTTTGAGGAGCGGAACTTGATTATATGGAGAAGTGCTTTGCTGCCATCCAGAATGTTTTCTGATTGTAAAGACAAACTTTCTAAGCCTTGGCCTGGAAAGTGTCCCAAAGGATGTTCAGAAGGCTCATACAGATCCTTAGGACCTTCATGAACTTAAGGGTGGAAGGTGATAGACAAGTGCTCATTTCACTTACATGTGTTTTACAAGAGGCTCCACCTCTGTGAACACTGACATAAAGTCAGCTTGCACAAGTCAGAGAACTGGGTTAAGGTTCTCATTAGTCTACAAGGACACTGCATTGCTTCAACCTCATAGGCCACATTTTTGTTATAAGGAAGTATGAATACTTTAGCCTATGAAGCTATACAAATATTGTATCAAATATGCTAAAACATCAAAAGTAGTGGGTTTACTTACATTAATAAGTGAAAGCATGAACTGAATTCTTCGTAAATGACATCAACTGCCCAATACAATAACCTAGCATTCTTTAGTGACTGAATACAAAGAAGTTCATTTCTATATTTTTAAATCACTAATTTACATTCTAAAAAAATTAAACATTTTATATTCTATACATTGGCATAATATCAGTCTATACTAATTCCACACATTGTTATAATGCAAATAATCTAAACATTAAATACTTTGCCATTCATAATTTAGTAGAGGGTAAAACGCTTATTGCGATACCAAAATGACTACCAGATGACTTTAAAAGCATTTAACTTATTTAAAAGCAGTGACTGGTGAGAAAGACAAAGAATAACTTACTTTCATTTATATTGCCATAGTTGATACTACAATGATATCAAAAAAGCAAAGAAACCTGAAATGAAATTTGCTGTATTAAGGAATTCCATAACTGTGCTAAATAACCAAAATTAATACTTGTTCTGAAGTCAATTAAAAAAAAACAGTTTTGAATATAAGCCTAATAACAGCAGAAAGCTTCCATATAAAACCACATAGTACAAGTTCGATCTTGTTTTCTTGTACTATTTTCTCCTTAACCCCTCCAATATTATATGGCCCTTAAAAGTCAAAGTCTTCCATCCCTTGTAGAAACCATTGAGTCTACAGAGGGATGATGGCTTATGCTCTACGAATGCACGCTGGAAAGCAGGTTTGAAGATGCAACATTCTCCAGGCTGAGTTCAGCCGCAGAAAACATGCCTAGCTATAGCAGAAGCCTGACGCAATGCTGTGGAAGCTGCTCACTGAACCAAGAACCATGCTCAAACACATGGTACCTGAATATGAAGCTGAAAATGCATAACATTGAAAAGGTTAACCACAACTAACACTCACTCAGAGGAATGACAGAATTAGCAACTGAACAGGCCGTGAGAACATTCCCCCAGATCACGTGACCTTGTAGAGAAATTCACCCTTGTGACAAATATTGCTCTTGACTTTTTAATCCAATCAAATAGTAGAATTTAACTTTAAGAGATAGAAGAGAATGTTAGCAACCGGCCTACTTCCACTGAAATGCGCTCACATGGCATTTATTTTCAATCAGCGCTCATGTGCTTGACTCTTACAAACTGCTGTATGATTCAAGAGACAAAATAACAGATTCAGCCATTACAGATTGCCTTTTAAATCAAGCCATTTCTTTCAAGAATTCTTGATTTTGTCTCACAAGTAGACGAAGAAAGTCTTTTGGTCATACATAATGAGAGCCTCTTAGTCTCATCTTTTGGATGTACAAACCCATAATCCTGATTTAGGATATTTCACTTGACTAACAGGCAGCCATATACTGGAGCCATTTGTTGCTTATCCAAGGTAAAAACGAACTAAAACCAATAGTTCTCTTTTCTGACTATTCGCCAAATGGTTAAAAATATTAACTGCCACCATCTAGTTTCTCCTTGACATACGTTACATGTACAACACTCAGTGCTCCTTCTATTTAAAAATAGCAATAATAAGAACATGGTGTGTGAAATGGGAAATAATTACGTGGTAGTTGAGGAATAAGGCAAAGGGCATTAAAAGAGCAGGAGATAAAGGCCACTTATCTTCAGAGGGTTACAGAAATTTCTGTCTGAACTAGACTTAATTGGGTTTTATTCTGTCTTGGAACACTAAAGCACCAGGATAGTTCTCTTAAGGTCGAGATGGGCTAAAGCGGCTATTTGCACACCCATCTCTGCCTTTTGAAAAGGGCATTGGGGAGACACCAGTAAGAAATTGAAAGCTAGAATCCTTCTCCCATTGCTCTTCAGAGTCTGAAAACTGCATAGTACTTTTTCCTAATGGTCCC